CTCAATTGTAACCGTATTGACTTGTTTAAAGACCCTAACAACAACAGTTTTTAATAATAATAATAAAACATTTTGTAATAATTATAAACATTAAAAAAAATCAAACTTTGCGTTTAGTTGAAACTACTAAATTATGTTGTACTTATTATTAAACAGTTTGGTGAAAATTACTTTAGTTAAGTGATAATTAACAAACAGTTTGATAATTAGTACTAAATTGTCTTAAAAAACCTTATCTGATTGGTTTGTTCATTTTGCTGACAGTTACTCAATTATTTAGTAAGCAATTTTGTTACATTTATCATTACTTGGTAATAATTATCAAACTGCCAATATTAACTAAATCATATAAAATGTTGCTAGAATTATTTGTTATCATTAACCAAATTATTTTGTCGCAAATCACCTATACGTTTAGCTAAAACTACTTCACCAAAATTCTTGGTAACATTAGCCAAGCCTGGATTATTACAACCAAAGATGATTATTATTAGACATTTTTTCAGTGTATATATTCAATTTTAAAATTTTAGTACAGCTTATATATATATTATATAAATTATTATTTTTAAATCTTAATTATTGTACGATATGCTTTTTAGAGTCATATTTGGTACCTGCTGGAACATTCTTGCATCTTAACATTTACGGAGTCCACAGAGATCCTAATTTTTGGTCAAATCCAGAAGTATTTGATCCTGATAGATTCTTGCCTGAGAAGATCCGACATCGTCATCCTTATTCGTATTTACCATTCAGTGCTGGTCCACGTAACTGTATCGGTAAACTATATTTTTTATATCCTGATATGTATAATACCATGTTATATTAACAGATTACGATATGTACCAAATTGTAGGTCAACGATTTGCTATGCTGGAAATGAAGGCCATGATAGCTCCTCTGGTACACAATTTCTACTTGGAGCCTATTGATTATTTAAAGAATCTTCGAATGCAGGTTGATTTGGTACTTCGCTTTACTCAGCCACTTCGTGTAAAATTTATCCCTGTCTGTAAAATGAAAGCAAGCCCTTGAAACAAATATCGACTTAATGAAGATCATAAAAGGCTAAAAAAGGTTTTATTTACTTATACAATAATTGTTAATAACTCTGTAATAGTAACACTTTGCACATTATCGGTCACGGTCACGGTCAAAATAAAAATATAAATAAAATGTAATAATTGATCGCGTATAAAGCTGGGTCTAATCAACCAATGGCATCGAAAACTCAAAAAACAATTTTTACTTCGGTTTTTTCTACCCCTATTACATATATAACTTTTTTTAATTTGGTTGATTAGACTTAGCTTTATATGCGATCAAAATTATGGACCGTTAATCGCGTATAAAGCTAAGTCTAATCAACTAAATCTTAAAAAATTATATATGAAATAGGGGTAGAAAAGACTAAAAAATATAATAAAATTAGAAATAGATCGATATCTCCAAATTTGCGGAAGTTAGAGCAACCACGGACATTTCTAAAAAATGTAAAATTAAAAAAAAAAATCTTTTTACCGATCATCGCCAAATTTAATACCAACCTTCCTTGAATGATACTCTATCGATTAAAAAAAAACAGCCCGATATCTCAATATTTGCGGAAGTTAGAGCAACCACAGACATTAAATCTGCACACACACGCACGCACGCACGCACGCACGCACGCACGCACGCACGCACGCAC